TCTTCAGTCGTGTTTCCAAGATGTTGATTAGAGAGTCAAGGACAAAAAGAAGTTTTTGTGTATGACGTTTTTAAACACCGAAACACTGAACAGCCCATATTGCTGTTTTCATTTAAACAGGTAATACAGGAATGATCAAAACATTTTGATTATCCAAATGGCTTTTAGTGACAAGTAGCCCAAAGGGACATTCAGTACAGTACAGTGGCTGTAAGATCATTCGAGCAGTTGCCAGAAATAATAAGGACATTGGCACTGATGTAAACTGAAAATATTTTCTCTAGGGTCTGATGACAAAGGACATCATCAGATTATATAACCATTGTAAGTGGATTTTTCATAACTAATACAACAGTATTTTTTAATTTCAGAAAATACATTTAAGTGCTCAAGACTGGTAAACTTCCTAGAGACAATTCCAATAACAGTTAATTTGCAAACGGAACACATACTGCTACACCATTATGATTCTCCTATTAAAATGTTCTCACAGAATTAAGTTTTACTTTCTGCACTTGCTTTGCAAAACACCCACAGTTTATTCTTTTATCTTTTGTCTTCCAGATAAGTTCTATCATTTCTTTGCAATATGCTTCGGCCTGGGAGTTGCACTAATATTCTACAGGCCTTTTTATTGTAAGTAGTCTTGCTGCACAGTGTTGTTCTATAATCGGGTGAAGTGTTTCTGCACTATAAATTATTATTTATTAAAATTATTTATAATGTAGCATTTAAATGAATTACTTCTGAATCTAGGGATCTTGGTATTACATGTAGAATTATTCTAGTTGTGAACCCTTTATTTTCTAACTGCTGTATACAAAGTGTGCCTTATTCTAAGAATTGGCAACATCTTGTTCATCTTTCACAGCGATCACTGCACCTTTGGGGATGGCTGTGTTTTTCACAGTTGTTTTTGAAATTGTCGGTGTGTTCTTTGGTAAGTGGATTTTTGTTCACATCACTATATCACTGCCCTCCCCTAGAAACATCAGTTAGTTTTGCGTTTGCCTTCATTTTCAAGCAGAGAAGCCTCACTTGTATAAGTGAGAGAGACTCAGACTGAATCAGAATTTCACCTCACCCAGTAATCGCAAAGCTACAGAGCCAATACTCACTGACTGCTTGCCCTTGGGTAAAAACCCACACAACACAGAATCAAGTACCAGGTTTGGAATTCACAATGGGCACATGGGGTGAACCCTTGCATGTTACAAAGATAAAATATCAGGAAGTACTTCAAATGCTCTTACAGTAAGTTAGTTAATTGACTATAGGAGTCAGCCCTTTTACTTGGGGTTGTGTTTAGCTGCATTGTATAAATATACTAATTGTGTGTAGAGGGTTATATAAATATTTTACTAAAAATGATTATTTAGTTCAGTGGTGTTTGTTGCAGAAAGTCAGATTTTCCTGAAGTTTTTCATATGCACCTTAAGAACTATAGGTAGGTTACCACAAAAAGGAGCTTGTAAACTCAGTTCTTTTTTGGTGTTGTAGATTTGCCAGCCCACACTAAAAAATGCAAAGGAAAACCGTATGATGGAAGAGGTGAGAGGAAATGTCTTGTTTCTGAATTATTATATGTTTTTGTCCCATATGCATCTTAGTTTTGCAAATGACGTTTCTGTGCCTTTGCTTTGCAGACTCATACTTGGGCTTCTGTGTTGCACTTGCTGTGGCATTTATTTGGCGTGACATCGATTATGGTAGGTGATTTTCTCTATTTCAATGTGTGCTTTTAAAGAAGCAGAATTAAATCTTGCTTTCAGGAAGGAGGTGGAGGGAAATATTAAAAGGATGGGCACAGAATGACTGCTGAGCACTGTCCAAGTGAGTGTTGGACCCTTCTAAAAGACTTAAATACTTTGGGAGCCTTCATGATGAAAACCGCTAAATAAATTCAAGGAATTCTCAATATAATGTAACATAATATAAATGAAACGGGCCAGAAAGCATTACTT